TCCCCCTCTTTCTAACAAGCAAACAGTCTTTACACACTGGCTCTGGCAGCTTGGTGTAGGACATTTCATGTGGTCCACAGCAGGTATCCAGGTCATGCTGAAGCCTGCTGTACATGTCTTTGTACAGTTTCACTTAACATCTAAAGATGGGTCTCGTGAAATATCAACTGAGCTTCAATTCAATTCTTTTTGTATAGCTGCTTTTACCATGTGAGCTTACCCTAATACAAGTATTGGCCAAGCATACATGTGATTGAAACAGAAAATCAGAAAAGTTGTTGTTGGCAAGATTCGAACCTGCGCGGGGAAACCCCAATGGATTTCTAGTCCATCGCCTTAACCACTCGGCCACAACAACCCACATTCTCTCCATTTCTATCTGGGGAAACACAATGCGTGAGAACCCCTTTACCTGTCCTACTCTAGTCACATTACATGCATTAAAAACCTCCATCAGGGACACAAAAGACTCTCCTGAACACTCAAAACCTTCTATAACTTAGAGCTGCGGAAGCAAAAAGGGTTACAACCAATCCAATATCCACAAAATGTAAGATAATCCACTTCACACCATCTCCCTGATGGTCTAATGGCTAGGATTTGGTGCTCTCACCACCACGGTCCGGGTTCGATTCCCGGTCAGGGAAGAAAAAACAGCTTGCTGCATTAAAACATTTTAAAACGAAATGTTTGTTTCTCAGATAAACACTAGGCTGCTCAGCCTAGGAGAGTCGGAATTTCAGTTGTGATATATCAAATTGTAGCCCTGAATCCACTCTTTCCATCCAGTATGCATTAAAATACAGCCAATTAAGGTGGTATTCTCAGCGCTCCACTAATCCAGCAGTCCTTTTCCTCTCATTCGTGACGCTGCAGTCAGTGTAAAATGCTTTAGCCAAAACTTGGGCCTGATCTTCCTGCCATCCCCACTTCCAATTCATTGAACATCTACAGTCCTCCGCTCTAACAGCTGAGCTATCAAAGGGATGCTTTAAATCAGCAGATACAGTGAACTCCTTCTTTACTGTTCAAGTGCAAAATTAAAACACAAATATCAATCCGCCAAAGGCGCATTTAACCCTCAGCCCTTAGTATGCTAACCTTTAGCTCAATAACAAAAAGTAGTGCCGTTTTCCTTTAAAGTATAGGTATACTTCCTAAACATTATTTATCATGTGCAACAAAATAGCAATTGGTGCCTTCTAGCCCTTACACACAGCAGAGTGGTGCAGAGGAAGCGTGTTGGGCCCAAGGGTAGCATAAGGCTATCGGATTAGCATTTA